TAATAACAAATCCATCATGACTATCTTCTTCCAGGAATGCAAGGATATTTTAACGTGAGAAATTTATGATATGCCACCACATTTACAGATTAGAGGAGGAAAACCATGTGGTGAGCTCAGATTGCCATCTGTGCTCCTTGGCACACACACAGGGGTGGCTGGGTGGCAAGGGAGGAAAGTGCACTGGGCCACACGGGGAAGCCGTGGTGGAAATGACCTGGCTGTAGAGATTAGTCCTGAAGTGACAGAGGTGCAGAGTCTGAAGGGCCACAAAGTCTCAAGCATAACTGCAAGAGAAGCCAGTAAGTACTATTAGGCAGCCAGTCACAGGGACTGGCCATGACATCAGGACAAGGGGCTCTTAACGTCAGATCTCAGCTCACTCTGGGAGATCTATTCATACATGGTTGGATCCCACCATTCAGTTGGGAGAACAGAGGTGGAATTCAGCTTCAGAGAATGACATAGGAAAGTATCGTGCAGAATACAAGGACCCTACCTCCATCAGGACCCTTAGTTACAGCCCATAGAAGCTGAATGGCTGGTAAGAGATGAAGAAGTGGAAACAAAAAGGTTTTAGGGGGAAAAGAAAGATGTTACTAGGTAGATCACAGTATCACTGAGAGAGCTGAAGAAAAACGTAAGACCAAGCTTACAGATACAAGGCCAAAAAAAAAAAAAAAAAACACACAAAGGACTATTTAGAGGAAAACGTATAGCCCTGAATATATTAGAAAACAAATTGAAATTAAATTAGCTAAGCCCACATCTCAAGAATCCAAAATGAGCAAATAATCCCAAAGAAACGAAGGCAAAGGCCAGTAAGGAAGACCTCTTGCAAAGCTAGCCAAATAAAATACACAATATAAACATGTGTTTCTTGATTTCACCTGCCCTTGCCCCTTGCCCCACTTTTTCTGGTAAGAGAACCTCTCTATTCCATGGGAAACATATAAGAATTACTTGTGGCTCATCCTGCCCCACCCCAGTCCTCCACACCCTCCTACCCCCAGCCCTGGCTGCAGTGACTGCTTCAGCACAGCAAGTGACCTGAGGAAGACCCACTGCTCTTCACTGAAATACAGGGATCCTCAAGAAGGGGCTCTGTGTATACACTCAAGCTTCCTACAGAAAACGTCTGTAGGAGGGAAAGACATTGATCAGCTGGGAGCAGAGATGACAGAGATAAATGAGAGAGCCTGAGGAATCGTGCTGCTGGCATTGGCTTACCCTGTCCGAAGCGTGCCACTCAGAGACCTCAGGTCAACAAGCCTTGTTTACTTATAATTTGAGTTCAATTTTGTCATTTATAAGAAAGTTCCATATAGGCCAGGCATGGTGCTTCACACCTGTAATCCCAGCACTTTGGGAGGCCAAGGGGGGGCCAATCACCTGAGGTCAGGAGTTCGAGACCAGCCTGGTCAACATGGCGAAACCCCATCTCTACTAAAAATACAAAAATTAGCTGGGCATGGTGGTGGGTGCCTGTAATCCTACTCGGGAGGCGGAGACAGGAGAATCACTTGAACCCGGAACGTGGAGGTTGCAGTGAGCCAATACTATACCACTGCACTCTAGCCTGGACAACACGGCGATACTCTGCCTCAAAAACAAAACAACAACAAACAAAAAAAGAAAGTTCCAAATAATACAAATATTATCCAAGACCTTTTGCCCAAAAAGTTTAAATATATATGAAATATGATCCTAGAATGATATGAATTATCAAAATTGACTCAAGGATAGAAAACTGTAGACAGAACACAACTGAATAAACTAAAAGGCAAAGATCAACCCCTGAAAAAAGTATCCAGCACAGATGTTTTTGTAAACAAGTTCTACAAAATGATAAAGAAACAAATACCTGGTCTATAAACAATTCAAGCCTGAAGAAAAAGACGTCTCCAAACCCATTTGCAAGGCTAGCATAAAGCTAATATCGAAATAGAACAGGAAGGTCATTTTTTAAAACAAGGGAGGGGACTGGCACAGGGACAGAGACAAAACTCGTAAGTAAATAAGTAATATACTGTAAAACTAAGCAAGGTTTATATCAGAATGCAAGGTGTGTTCAACATTAGGAAACCTATTACTGTAACTCAGTACAATCACACAATAAAATCTTCTGATTTTCTCCATAGATGTCAACATTCATCACTGTTAAACAAAAGGGAAGGGGAAAAAAAGAAAAAACCCAATAAGCTAGAACAGAAGAAAACATCTTCAGCCTAATGAAGATCATCTACTGGAAGCCCAGAGCAAGCGTCCTACCTCAGGACACAACGTGAAAACCATTCCCACTGAGAAAGGGGCAATCAAGGGTGCCATGCAACATCACACTGGAGGTCCTGGCCTCCGAGATTCACAAGAAATAGACATGAGTGTAAAGGAAGAGATGAAACTGCCATTAGTGGGATACAATTTGGCTATCTAGAAAGCCACAAGATCAACTGAAGAACTGCGCATTCGACAAGGTGGGCAACACAAAGATGGACACACAGGTGGATGCCAGGGATGGGCAAAGGTGATTTCTACAGATCCTTCACTACCAGTAACTAGGACTTTCATAAAACTCCTAAGACTAAATCAAATTGGAAGTAAAAGCCCATTTGAAGACCACACCACCTTCCCAAAGAACATACCTCATTTCTGGATAGGAAGATGACTGTTAATTTTTCTACAATATTTATTTAAAAATAAAATAAAAACCAGGGACGGGCATGCTGATTCATGCCTGTTATCCCAGCACTTTGGGAGGCCGAGGCGGGCGGATCACGAGGTCAGGAGATCGAGACCATCCTGGTTAACACAGTGAAATTCTGTCTCTACTAAAAAAATACAAAAAATTAGCCAGGCGTGGTGGTGGGCGCCTGTAGTCCCAGCTACTTGGGTGGCTGAGGCAGGAGAATGGCATGAACCTGGGAGGCGGAGCTTGCAGTGAGCCGAGATTGTGCCACTGCAGCCTGGGTGACAGAGCGAGACTCCGTCTCAAAAAAAAAAAAAAAAAAAAGATAATTCCAGTGAGCAAAGAATGAACCATCCAAGAAATAGTATAGGGACAAGTGACTTTCCCTTTAGGAGAAGTTTGCTACCTCTCAGAAAAAACAACTTCAGATGAATTATAGATACACACACATACACATCTTTAACCCATATCATCTATTTTTGGTATATACATCTATATATTTTATACGTGTATATTCATACATACAAATATACAGATGTATGTATGTTTAAAGCCACACTATAAGAGGAAGTAAATGAGAAACAGATAAATGAAGTGATAGCTGGAAGACATGGGAATCAGTACAGGTTTTCACGCCTGTTTCTGAAATGGGAGATTCTACAGCACGCTTGGCACTAACACATCATATCCAGTAGACAGGACAGCCAAAAACACAAAACAAAAAAACAAAAGGATCAAACACCCAAACCAAAACAGAACAAAACCCAACAACACATATACCCGACCAAAGTCTTTAAGAAAGCAAAAGAGGCCGGGCACAGTGGCTCACATCTGTAACTTCAGCACTCTAGGAGGCCGAGGTGGGTAGACCACTTGAGGTCAGGAGTTCGAGACCAGCCTGGCCAACATGGCAAAACCTTGTCTCTACTGAAAATACAAAAATTAGCCAGGCATGGTGGCACGTACCTGTAATCCCAGCAGTTTGGGAGGCTGAAGCAGGAGGCTCACTTAAGGTCAGGAATTTGAGACCAGCCTGGGCAACATGGCAAAACCCCATCTCTCCTAAAAATACAAAAAGTTAGCCAGGTGTTGTGGTGCACGCCTGTAGTCCAAGCAACTAGGGAGGCTGAGGCAGGAGAATTACTTGAACCCAGTAGGTGAAGGTTACAGTGAGCAGAGACTACACCACTGCACTCCAGCCTGAGCAACACAGGTAGAATCTGTCTTTAAAAAAAAAAAAAAAAAAAGGGCTTCAAAGCACAAGAGGTAAGGTTTAAATCCCACTGGCTTACAACGGGAAGGTATGTGAGCACATCTGCAGAGTTGGTAACAGGGAGGCAGCTGTTCCCTCTGATACCTGTTGTTTCTTAATGAGGCATGGGTTGTGGTAACTACCACAAGAAGGGGGAACTGATAGGTAAGACAGAAGTTTTGAAATAGACATCCCAGAGTAGATCCACTGGGCAGTGCTTAGTGTCCATCTGAGGTTTGTAACAATAAACTTAAGGTACAACGGGTGGCCAGGCTGGCTGTTTTCTCACCTAATGACGGTGACTTGGGTTTGGGCAGAGGTGAATGACTGGGTTTACCCAGGGTTAGGGTTTTACTAGCTGAACAGAATGGAGGGAGATGGGGGTGTAGGGTGGACCTAGGAACTGATGCTATGCAAGAGGGAAGTGAAGACAGAAGGTTAATCATGAGAATGTCAGGGCTGGTTAGAAGGATGAAGGGTAAGGGTGGAAAAGCAGCCTCCATTTAAAAGGTTACAAGACAATCAATGTCCTCAGGAATAATCAGGTTTCAATTAAAGTCAGATGGCCGGACCATTCAAAACAAAGGTAAGGACAGAGAGATTTGCCAGCCACCTTCTGGAGGTGATGGATGGTGAAGAGTGGTGGGAGAGACGGGATGGCATGTGGGGACGGACACAGTAGCTGGAGGTGAGCACTCCCGTACGCAGGGTGACTAGAAAGGCGGGGAGAACAGCACGAGGCACCATGGGCTCCTGAGCGTCTCTTAGAGGCAGGTGGGTGTTAGGTCCTAGGGCTGTCATCCTGAATGCTTGAATCGGTATGAACTGCAAGCAGGCAAGGAAGCAGGAGTGCTCCCAGCTGTTACACACATGCAAGGAGGCCCAGCGCAGGGCCTGGCACTTTCTAAGTGCCCAGTAAGAAAGAACAAACAACCGGGGAAAGACTCCAGCCATTTCCCATTTCCTTCCCATTCAGCCCACCCAGTCACAAGGTCTACCAGGGAGCAGTTCTTCACTTCACCACAAGTCTCCGTTCCCCGAGAGAGCCACTCAGACACCAGAACAAGTCACCAACCCACCAGGGGTTTAATTCTCCTAATCAAAACATCAGTTCAGAGAGGGGCCCTGCGTTGTCCCCATCCAGGGGTGAAGATCTGCAGAGCACCCTGGGAATGTCCAAGCCCAGAAGAGCCAGGGGCCCGTCCCTGAGCAAGTGGAAAAGTGGGTCCTGGAGTCTCAGGCGGCCTCCTCCTCTTCGCTCTCCTCCTCACTCTCATGATACTGTCTGCGGTTTGTGTTAACAAACAGGTCAGAATCATCTTCTGAGCTGGACTCCTCTCCTGATAACTGTGGCTCGGCTGGGAGTTCTGGTTGAGTTTGTCTGCAAGAAGGGAAGAGAGCAGAGTTAGCCCAGCACCTTCTGAGAAAACCAGATGTAGATCAAGGAGTTCCAAAAAAAGGAGGACCATCCGGCCCAGCAGTCAGGGCCCTACAGCACCCTTTAAAGACTAAAATAAGGGACAGAGGCAGAGCAAACAGTGGGGAAACTTAGCTAGAGAAACAGGCTAAAGACTGACCCCACTCCCCAAACGTGTGCCACAGCCATTTGTTTCAGTCAGGAATGATTCTACGACCACCAACTAACGCTTAACGAACCCGCATCACACACCAGATGCTGCACTAAGCAATTTTACAAGCCATCCACTTCTTTAATCCTCACAATGCTCCCATTTTATATATAAGGAAAATAGAGTTTGAAGGAATTAAATGACGTGCTTAAAGTCATTCAGCTTTAAGTGGCAAAGCCAGGATTTTAACCCAGAGAATCTGACCTTCAAGCCACATTCATAACTATGTACCACATATGTAGGCGCTCTCAACAGATACCCTATGTAAGGAGAAAAAAGGCTCTATTTTTCCCTCAAGGCACCAAAGCATGAACCCCTTATTTTCCATGTGCCCCACCGCAAGGCTTGTTCCTCACCTGTTCCTGTTGTTGTGTTTCTCAGCCACTTCAGAGAAGGCCTCAGGCCTATGCCAAGAGATGAGCAAAGTCAGGGAGGACAAATCACTTTCTCACAAAAGAGCTGTTTCCAGCTGTCTCTGCCTGGGATGCCATGACCTTCCCTCCCCTAGTTCCCAAGCTAGGAAGGCAATGCCTTCAGCAGCCAGAGAGTCAGTGATCAAGGGGACCACCTACCAAAAGCCCTCCTTCTGCAGGGAGCGCACGTGGTCCTTGCAGAGCACAAACGAGATCTCAGCCTTCACCTTTTCTCCCTCTTCAATGGGGTCAACAATGAGAAAGTCCCCTGTAGGTAAGAAGAGAAAAGGCAAAGTCAGGCCTGCCTGCAATAAGGAAAGCCAAAGCCATAGGAAGTGGTTCTATCTCCTAGAGAGGGCTGCCTCTCTCACCTCCCTCTCTCTTTTTTTTTTTTTTTTTTTTGAGACAGGGTCTTGCTCTGTTGCCCAGGCCGGAATGCAATAGCATGATCATAGCTGACTGCAGCCTCCACCTCCCAGGCTCAAGTGATTCTCAGGCCTCAGCCTCCCGAGTAGCTGGGATCACAGGCACGTGCCCAACTAATTTTTTACTTTTTGTAGAGACAAGGTCTCATGATGGTCTCAAGTGATCCTCCCACCTCAGCCCCTCAAAGTGCTGGGATTACAGGAGTGATCCTCTCACCTCTCTTGATCCAGATGTTCTTGCGGTATTTGGAGGGCATGCTCACCAGGAAGCGCTGCCCTTGGGCTGTCTCCACCTCATGGAGATTGTTCCCTGGGGTCCTGAGTACCTGGTTCAGGAGAGACCAAGAATCAGTCTCATCGGTCAAACACTCTCTCAGCCGCGCACACCCTGCCACCACCCCAGGGGCCCTCCAGGGCTGGAGGGGTGGGGAGCAGAGCAGCTTGTGCCCAAAGCCACTCACCCTGACAATCTGCTGCTGGTCGGAGGGCACGATGTGCTCCCCCAGCACCTCCTTCACCACATGCTTCCTCTTGGTGGCCTGAGACATGCTGAAGTTGTCCCAGGGTGGTTAGGAACGAAGAGACTGTCAGCTCCTCCTCCTGAGTTCCTTGGATGGCAGGCTCAGAACCCAGGACTGTTCTGAAGATGGGGAGGGGCCTTTTACTGAGGGGTGACACGGTGTCTTGGTTAAGAACATGGGCTCTGAAGTCTAACTGCCTGGATTCAAATCCTACCTTCGTTTATTTCCTAATTATTCAACTTCTCTAGGTCCCAGGAAAATAACAGCTAACTCAGCACTGTTACAGAATGGGACAATACAGTGCATGTCATGTAAAAGTAACTCCAGCAGGGAGCGGTGGCTCACGCCTGTAATGCCAGCACTTTGGGAGGCCGAGGCGAGCGAATCACGAGGTCAAGAGATCCAGACCATCCTAACACGGTGAAACCTCGTCTCCACTAAAAATACAAAAAATTAGCCGGGTGTGGTGGCGGGCGCCTGTAGTCCCAGCTACTTGGGAGGCTGAGGCAGGAGAATGGCGTGAACCCGGGAGGCGGAGCTTAGAGTGAGCCGAGATCGTGCCACTGCACTCCAGCCTGGGCGACAGAGCCAGACTCCGTCTCAAAAAAAAAAACCAGTAACTCCTACAATCTTAAGTACTGGTGTAATGTAAAACTATAGGAACGTTCCAGAGAAATCATCCTGGCAACCTCTCTCGAAGGAGTTTGAAATAAACCGTATCTTTCTCAACACGCTTGTACACCCCAAGTCTGGCATAGTCACACAACAGAGAAGTTCAGTCTGGCAACACACTACAGCCGGAGACAAATTAGGTGGCCACCGTGATGGTCCAAGCCAGGAACTAGTTAATTAAAGGTTGAGGTGAGCAGGCTTGTCTGCAACATCTGCATTTTTCTGACTTGCGTACTTAGAAGACGAGGGCCAGTACCCTTAAGACTGATGGTTTCCGAAGGAAACACTGTCATCTCTAGTTGCCGTTCTCCTTCCTCCTCCCTGTCTATCCCGGAGAAAAGACCCTCAGAGAAACACCCACACTCAGTCTCTGGCCCTGGGCTCCCAGGAACGCTGCCGGAGCAACCCCGCTGTCCAGGCTGGACGCTGAGAGAGGATCGTCCACGACTCACTTCAAGGCTGAGCCAAGAAAACACAGTAAAGGAACTTGCCGGCGGCCGCGACGGTAGCGTCACCTCGAAATCAGGTCTCCAGCGTTCCCAGTTCCCACCAGTCCCACTGCGAGGAGTGCGACGTGAGTCTGAGTCCGATCCCTCCGAAAACCGTCTTCCGACGCTGTCTCAGAGGCCTCCGGGCCACCCGTTCCCTCCCTTGTCCGTCTTCTAACTCTTCCCCACGCCAGGTCGGTCAAGCCTAAGTCTTTGAGTTCCGGGTCCGGGCAACACAGAAAGGAAGTTCTCTCCCTGTAGGCCTCTCTCCCTCAGAACTGCTCGAGGAGCGAGACCTTAGAAGACAGGGCTTCCCGCGAAGAACCGGAAAGGAGCGCCTACTAAGGACGTCGTCGAGGTCCGCGGCGCCTCAACTCTATAGCTCTAACTGGCTAGAAGGGCCCAACGTGGAAGGTTTTTTTTTTTTAAAGGGGGCTGAGGCGACCCGGAAGCGGAAGTGGAAGAAAGTTCTAGTGGCCTGACGTATCCGCGGGAGCAGCAGGGTGGCGGGAGGAACCGTTACGGGAACTGAAGCTGCCGGTGAGCGCGAGCCGCGGAGCAGAGCCCTGGCTGGAGGCCAGAGGGACTGCGGGGAGAAGGGGAGGAGAGGGGCCGCAGGCGCTGTGGCGGGCCCTGGGGGAGAGCTTGGCCGCGCTGCGGGAGGGGGCGGGGTGCGGCGCGTGGAAGCCGGGCCGCGGGAGGGGGCGGGCCGCGGCTGCGCGCGGTGGGGGCGGAGCTGGGGTGCGGCGTGTACCCCGTGGGCGCGTAGCGGGTGTGCGCAGCGCTCGGTGTGCGTTTCGCCCTGTAGGTAGAGAGACCCTTTGGTTAGCTTTTTACGCCAAGTGGCTGTTCCAGGCAGTCAGTGCCTTTTTGGCTCAGCCAAGGTCACAGAGGGAGTGACAGCTTCCGGGCAGCCCTGGCTACTGACTGGGAATCTTCCCACTGCCCCGCTTGCGCCACCTGTTAGGCAAGATCGTTTTTCCTCTGGGGCAAGATCAAAATCCAGGTCCTGCAGGAAGAAACTCCTTTTCAGAATAGTAGGGAAGAGTCTCCCTGGATCTGGGTTTTCTCCTTTCAGGATGAGGGGGATCGAGCAAGCCACCGTAACCCGTGGCTTGGCTGCCTCTTACTGTGAGATTGCTAGTGGGCTCTTAGGAGTTCCAGGTCTTCAGCCCTAATCTGCCTTTCTTTTGGGATTCCTAGATTAAGCCTGATCAAGATGACAACCTCCCAAAAGCACCGAGACTTCGTGGCAGAGCCCATGGGGGAGAAGCCAGTGGGGAGCCTGGCTGGGATTGGTGAAGTCCTGGGCAAGAAGCTGGAGGAGAGGGGCTTTGACAAGGTGTGGGGTGACCGCCTGTACCTGGTGCAGGCGGGGGTGGGAGGGAAGTGAGTCCATCTGCTAGGGGGTGGACAGTGGGGTATAATCTGAAGAGGCTGTCAGAGCCTGGGCACCTGGTGGAGAGGATGTGGGGGCAAAACCCACGCTGCTTCTTGGGCTTGTGTACTCTGAATGGCACAGGAATGGCCGCCTTGCTCTTATCCCTCACTGAACACTGAGCAGCACACCCCTTCCTTTTTCCCTGTTTTGCAGGCCTATGTTGTCCTTGGCCAGTTTCTGGTGCTAAAGAAAGATGAAGACCTCTTCCGGGAATGGCTGAAGGACACGTGTGGCGCCAACGCCAAGCAGTCCCGGGACTGCTTCGGATGCCTTCGAGAGTGGTGCGACGCCTTCTTGTGATGCTCTCTGGGAAGCTCTCAATCCCCAGCCCTCATCCAGAGTTTGCAGCTGAGTAGGGACTCCTCCCCTGCCCTCTACGAAGGAAAAGATTGCTATTGTCGTACTCACCTCCGATGTACTCCAGGGTCTTTTGGGAGTTTTCTCCCCTAACCATTTCAACTTTTTTGGATTCTCGCTCTTGCATGCCTCCCCCGCCCTTTTTCCCTTGCCGGTTCCCTGGTGACAGTTACCAGCTTTCCTGAATGGATTCCTGGCCCCGTCCCTCACCCCCCACCCTCACTTTCAGTCCGTTTGATACCATTTGGCTCCTTTTTGGGCAGAACAGTCACTGTCTTTGTAAAGTTTTTTAGATCAATAAAGTCAGTGGCTTTCATGACTGGGCTTTGTGCACTGAAAAGCAAGTGGGCAGGGAGTTGCCTCTCCTCCAGGGACAGACCATGTCTCCCTCACTCCTTATCAGTAGAGACCGAAACTGGCAGCTTCCCTTCCACTCCCAGAGGGCAGTCACCCTAGCCATGTAGGCCTCAGGCAGGTGACTTGTGTCTCAATCCCCGAGCGATGTGGGAGAGGGTGTGGGTGGATCTTTTCCTGGGAGCCAGATGGACTGTGCTCCAGATGTCAGTTAAGTCAACAGCTGGGCTAGGCAGCACCTGGTGGAAAAGTCAGTGGGAGTCAGAGGTACCAGACAGGGTGGGCCAGATGTGGGTGAGAGTTCACCTGCCAGTCATATCATCTGCTCTCCTGGCCTCAGCAAGGGTGGGCAGGGCGCTTGCCATCTTCTATGATGTCTTAGGTAGGAGAAGGAGCACAGGCATCACAGCTGGAAGGATGTGAGGGGAGTATACCTTAGTACATTTTAGTCCTGTTCTTTTTGTTTACTTTTTAACTTAATAGAGACGGCCCTTCTGTGTTGCCCAGGCTGGCCTTAAGCGATCCTTAAGCCTCCCAAAGCGCTATGACTATAGGTGTGAGTCACCATACACAGCCAGCCCTATTATGTCTTGAACACTTAGTATGAACCAGGCTTGAAGCTAAAATCTTTGCAAACATGTTTTTCTTTCACAGTAATAATTATTTTCTCTTTTACAGGTGAGGAAACTTGAGGCTCAGAGAGGCGAATTTGCCCGTAGACTTGCTCCTGGGAAGTAGCCAGACTGGAACTCAGAACTAGCTTGGAAACGCATGGACTGGGCCCTGTGTTCCTTGGTCATGTGGCTTATCCTCTCTGAGTCTCAGTTTCCCACTTGGAAAATGAGGTGGTTGGTAGGGAAAGGATATCTGCAGCAGTATAAACAACAAAGGAGTATTTCCGTAGCACAAATACAATTGCAATCAAGAAAAAGGTGGACTGGCTGGGTGTGATGGCTCACGTCTGTAATCCCAGCACTTTCAGAGGCCGAGGTGGGTGGATCACCTGAGGTCAGGAGTTCAAGACCAGCCTGGCCAACATGATGAAACCCCATCTCTACCAAAAATACACATTAGCCGGGTGTGGTGGTGCACGCCTATAATCCCAGCTACTCAGGAGGCTGAGGCAGGAGAATCAAATTTGGGAGGCAGAGGTTGCAGTCAGCCAAGATCATGCCATTATACTCCAGCCAGGGTGACAAGAATGAAACTCTGTCTCAAAAAAAAAAAAAAAAAAAGCACAACAGAAAAATAGGTAGAAGACCTAAGATGGCCACAGAAGAAGGTTCCCTCCCAGTAAATAAGCACAGGAAAGGTGTTCCATATTGCTAGTAATAAGACATCACATGCTGTTAACACCCATCTGACTGGCAAACACTTTTAAGTTGGACAATACCAAGTATTGATGAGATAGTGAAGCAACAGGAACTGATACCCAGCTGGTGGGAGTATAAATTGGTCTAAACAATTTGGGAAGACAGTTGGGTGTTGTTTAGTAAAACTGACACACCCTGTGACCAAGCAGTTCCACTCTCAGGACTGTGCCTTGAAGAAAGTCCCCAACACCTGCAGCAGGACTGAGGTGAGTTCACAGCTGCAATGTTGAGAGCAGCACTAGCGGCTGTCAATACTAGAGTAGAGGAATACGCATTCATGCCACCAGGCACTGAACGGAGGTGAAAATGAACAAATGATAGCTGTGTACAACACAAATCTCAATAGCAAATGAAGCCAAACAAGTTCGTAGGAATTCCTATAGATGGTAAAACTAGAAGGAAAACAAAGGAAATGATGATGGTAAATGGTAAAGGAAAAAGTCTACAGTGGTTATCTTTGGGGGAGGATGTGGAAGGGCTTAAGGGTAGGCTTGGCCCACCCTGACCTGTGTTTCTGGCCTGTGGGGGGTGGTACAGGCATTGACCAAAGACTCTATTCTGCGCCCTTTTCTGTGTATTAGCTACATCTCAGAACAATACAAATATAAAAGGAAAACCAAAAATAAAGACCTGAGGCTGGAACAATTGTGTGATAGGTCAGAAACTAAATTGTTATTTGTAGGGACGAGAGTTCTGGGCAAGGCTGGGACCGGGAAGTGTGAGTGGCCCAGCCTGAAAGGGACACTGGGTGGCTGCAGCAGGGCCTAGCTTGTGCTTCCTGCCGCTTCCTGGGAGGCTGCTGGTCTGAGGCCCGGCTGAGGTCACAAGGGCTTTCTCTTGAGTTTCATAGTGTTTCTGATGTCTTCTTGGATAAGTCCCCTCAGCCTTGACCCTCGTGCTGTGATGCTGTCGCAGGCCTGGTGTGCTGAGGTGGGGACTTTGCAGGGCCCTGGCCTCACCCACACCTCAGCCCTGATGCTGCCAGATTGTTGCTGGTGCTCTGTGAGGTCATGGAGACTCCCTCCTCCTCCACGAAGCCCTTGCCTGAGCTCCTGCCCACACTGGCTTCCTGATTTGGCCTCGCCTGACTGGCACTGGGAGCCTGCTGGAAGCCTGCGGCTTATGCTGTCTGCTTTATTTCCTTGTCATCTGCCTTTCCCAGCTCACCCACAGGCTTTGCCTTAGAAGGGGCTGGAACCTGCCTTCTCACCTCTCCCTTGGGGCGCAGGCAGTGCATATACCAGGTGGCAGGCCACAAACCCTTTACCAGGACTCCATATTGCATCCCACACAAGTTCTTGGCTCTGTCCTGGGACAGCAGTAGACAAAGGGTATCTAGAATGTACCTTGTGACAGTGTGGCCTCTCAGATCTAGCCCGACTCAGCCAGCAGGACAGAGGGACCACAGCTTGGAATGCTGGCGCAGAAAGCAGACCTGGTGGTGAGGGGTGAGAGTCAGGTTGTCTAAGTGTCAGCCCGTGGTGCCCAACAGGACATGCCTGGCCATCCACTAGCCTGGGACATGGGTGGGCCCGGAAATCAGCAAATACTGATGCCGTGCCCCCATCCCCTCACACCCAGCCAGAGCTTGACGCCCCTCAGCCGATCTAGTCATGAGCGCTCAAAGCCCGCCTAGAACTTGGTGTGAACATAGCCCATGCGCTCCGGGGTCCCGAAGGGCTCCTACTGCCCCCGGAAAGGAAGTAAGGGGAGGCTACCTGGAGCACCACAAGCCCTGCCCCGTGGGAGCCTGCTGAGCATGGAAGGCTCCCAGCAGGTGCTTGTGATGGCTGATCCCCTTCCAGGCTGGCCCCTCCCTGCAGGGACCAGGGCTCTTTCCTGTCACTCCCAACCTTGACTGGTGGCAGCCTTGAAGAGCCAGCCAGGCCCGATTCTGGGCCTTTGCTCCCCATACAATCTGGAGCAAGTTGCTTCACTCCCCTGAGCTACAGCTTCCTTGCCAGCTGGTGCAGGGTTGTGAAGATTCAACCAGTGAATCAGCAGCGCTTAGGAGCGCTTCTCCCCAGAGGGGAGCTTTAATCCCTGTTGGACTACAGGTTTCCTTGCCGAAAGATCTCCTTTTCAGGATATGGGACTGCAGAGCCCTGGGGGAGGGCAATATCTTCTGCCCAACTAAAGGTTCAAGGAAGAGGGTTCTGGGGGAAGCACCAAGGCCTTGGAGGGCCTGATCCCAGAGGGAAGGAGTTGTCAAGAACCTGCCCTGGTCATCTCTACCCATCAGGCCAGGGGCAAGAGAGGGGTGCTGTGAACAACCTGGGTTGGGATGTCTGGGCCACTGCAAAACTGGAGGTTGTGCCCTGTGGCCAGTACATTTGACCGACCTCAAGCTCACGTTTGGCCCAAACCTCCTGGAAGCCAGAGTGGTCCAGACAGGATGGAGTCAGGCCCCGGGAAAGTCTGCTCAGGGACACCCCACCTGCAAGAAACAACCCTACACCATGCACAGTAGACCTCATACCCCTGTAGAGCAGCCAAGGACTCATGCACCGGGACCCACCACTACCCTTCCCCTTTGACCTCCCATTTCCTCCTTGTAGGAAGAGGCGATAATCATTGCCTCTGTAGCTGCTATGGGAAAGAAAGAACATACATTGAATCCCTGGCGCAAGGCCTGGCACACAGCAAGAGCTCTTATCATTGTTAACCCCACCCCCAACCTTTTCTCACCAAGATACCAATTCTAGCTGTGTGACCTTATACAAGTGTCCTAACCTCTCTGATTAACTTTTTCATCTGCAAAGTGAGGATAACGTGTACTCCCTCAGGGTGCTTGTGAGAATTAGTGGGTGAAAAGTGCTCGGAAATTGCTAGGTTGTACTGCAAAAGAGTCCTTGGCATCAGCACAAAGCAGTGGCAGGTGGGGTGAGTGCCCTTGGTGAGTCGAACGACAGACAGGCCTTGGCTAGTTTTTGAGAGAGTGTTGGAGGTACCTGGGGCTATGGCTAAGCTCCAAGTGATGAGACAGCAGGCCTAGGGGAGCTGCCTCTCCCACCTCGCCCCTGTGGCACAATCCTGGGCCTCTTCCTCTACCCCTCCCAGGCTCTCAGCTCAGAGTCCTGGCCAGGCGTCATCCTCCTGATCAACTCAAGCTCCAGCACTTCCACAAACTGGAGTCTGTCCCTTTAAGCCAGACACCTGAGGCCGCCAGGAACTTGTTCCTTGGAATCCCAGGAAGATGGCGGAGTTGGTTTTCCACAGCTGGGCTGAGGAAGTGAGGCAGGTAGCAGGCTGGCAGCTGCCCTGGGCAGTGAGTGACTGCTCTGGTCTAGGTCTCTGTGTGGGAAATCACTTCCTTTTGTGGTCCTGGAATTCTAAGGCCCAGAATCAGGAAGGGAGGGTGACACGCTGGATGCCTACACACTATATCCATCACAGTGAGGGCTGCCAGCTGCTCTTTACGTACTGTGTCCTAGCACCTCTTCCAAGCCCCAGTGAAGCCCCTGGAGGCTCTAAGCACTGCAAGATCTTAGTGCCCCAGGGACAATAAGCCTCTGCCCCCCAGCAACATGGAATTACAAGTACAAACTACAGTGAACTCTAAAATGCAGACAAATAATTCCAGCAAGGCCTG